CAGCGGACAACCACCACAACAGGAGCCAAGACGCTGGCTAGTTGCACCTGTGCATTGCTTGTCATGGTGGGCTTCAGCTGATCTCAGCCTTTGCCTTTCTCTCTCTCACTCTGCCTCTCCTCCTTTCTAGCCAGGTGCAGTACAGTTTTCTATCAGAAATGCTTCAACCTCCTTTTTTTGCCTTCTTCATCAGGAGAGGAGACCAAGATGGAAGAAGGAAGGAGGGAGGAAAAGGAAGAAAGAGAAACCAGACTAGCAAACAAGCAAAGGGTCTGGCATCCCTCCTCACTACTGATGTCATCTAACACTAACCTATTCAGTTTACCAGAGAATTTACACACAATGCAGCTCTCCACCACCACTTGCCTGTCCTGTGTCATCTCTGCCCTCATTCTCCTCTCCATCTCCTTTATTGCCAACTGCCCCATACCTTACTTTCCTGCCTTGGCACCACAATGGCTTTGCCTCACTTCTCCACTGGGTCAGAGACAATGGTTTCATGGCATACTACCCATAGTATAATACTAGTTCACATCCCAGCCTCTTTTGCCCAGTTTATCACATCTCCTTTCTGGTTTCCTACCAGTATCACACTACGTTCCAACATCCATATTGTTATCTACTTATTTGGCTTTAGGCAACATCTTTTCTCCTGTTTTTGTCTCCCAATGACCACCGGCTAAAATTGTACCTGTCACCGTATATCACCATACCCACATTTTGCATTTATATTGCTATTCACAAATTCAAGCTGCTAATTCATGGCTACAAGGGTCTGTTCCTAGGCACTTCACTCCATGCATCAGATGAAGTACTGTAGAATTAAGTCAGCGAAGCCTTGTGTTACCAACTTTTCTCAGTTAATCTCAAAGGTGCTACAAGTTCTCTTTGCACAAACTACACTGTAGCATCTGACACTTAAACCCAAGCACTCTCTCCTCTCCCAAAAACTCTGTTTCATGTGTATTTTAAATTGTTTAACGTATTTAAATACAATGGTATTTAATTACCATGTATGGATGCGAGTGCTGAACAGTGAAGGAAACAGACAGAAAGAAAATCAACTCATCTGAAATGTGGTGCTGGAGAAGAATACTTAGGACATCATGGACAGCCAAGAAGACAAACAAATGTTCTTTAACAGATCAGACCAGGGTTCTCCTTGGAAGCTAAGATCATCAAATTGAGGCTATCATACTTTGGCCACATAATGAAAAGGTACGGATCACTAGAAAAAACAATAATGCTAGGAAAGGTAGAGGGTAGAAGAAAGAGAGGAAGACAACAAACCAGATGGAAAGACTGAATCAGGGGGGTTATGGGGAAGGGCTTGCAGGATCTGGGCAAGGCAGTGGAAGATAGGGATTCTTGGAGATGTCTCAACCACAGGGTTGCCATAAGTTGGAACTGACTCAAGGGCAGCTAACAAAAACTCACCAGAAAAATATGATTGAGTACATAATAAAATACAGTATATGTAATATAGCTATAAATGAACCACATAAAATAAGTTTATATTTATATTAGTGTTTTTAGCTTTTATTTGGTAATCTACATTTCTCTCGAATGACCATTTTGCAGTTTTATCCTCTTTTACGGTTATGACATCTGGTCACCCAACATAGCCAACCCCTTAGAGAGCTAATCATAAATGGTCCAGCCTCTTTCCCCAATTTATGTCCTCTCCACCATCGAATACCTAGACAGCATTCTCATTGCTGAGCAGTTATTTCTTTTCTCCAACAGCAGACACCATACAATTTAAGTGGTGCATCTCAGGGTGCTTCATAGTGTAGGATTCATCCCACCCCCAGTATCCTTTGTGACACTGCAAAAGATCCTAGGATGACCTGGGTCTTCACTGTGACATTAAAACCAATGAGAAGCCAATGAGAAGCCATTGCTTGAATTGCTGGCACAATGGAGCCACCCTGGTTGCCAACCTTTTTCTTGCTACTGAAAAAATGAGTCAGCCACAATAAATATTTTATTTGTATCTCTTCTATGGTTTTTTACCAATGCAGAAGCAGAATATTAATCAGTTGAAAAGAGCTTCATGAAAAAGAACATGCAGACATTAGTAACAATAAGTCACCTTCAAACTGCTTGGCAGAAACATGAATCCTTTTTTTGTTCTCCTTTTTTTTTATCATAAAGGCATTACTGTCCCACATGGAATTAGAAAATGTTGCTTGTTCAAATTTTATTATGACGACACTGATTTTTTAAAATGTGGGCAATATATTTTCAATACTAAGGAGCCAAAAATCGCAGCTAAATATATATAACCAAATCCTATGTATAGTTACTCAAAGGTACAACTTGCTACTCCCAATGGGGCTTGCTCCCATATTATTTGTTAAAAGAGCAAAAGTTTGATTCAATAAGTTTTCAATACCAAGTTGATGAATTAAAATACAATGAAACAAGATTTGGGGGTAAACATTATTCAGAACATATCTGTTCTTCTAAAGCCTGTGGGGACACTGCTAAGGAATCTAAAGATGTACTGTATTGTGCAGAAATGGATAGTAAGGAGAGAGACCCATAACTCAGTCCTCTAGGTCCCCAACCAATTCTTTTCAACTGAGCCTTAAAAAATTAATCTGGAAGCAAATTATGGTTGGAATCTTGTTGGTGACTTACACTGGTATAAAGAGGACCATCCAAAATCTACAAAACAATGATACTTTTATTGACCCAACCAAAATGCACAATATCCATTTTGCAAGCTTTCAAAGCTCCACTGCCTTCTTCATCAGGCAAAGGTGTTAAAAAATCATACAGGAAAAAGAAAAGAAAATGACAATGTTAGTCAAGGCCTGCGTTTTGTGAAGATGTTGTGGTTGTTATCCTCAGTTCAGATGGTATGGAAGGGTATTTGTGCAGGCAGGCTACTCCTCCTTGTGGCTATGTGGATCCTGGGAAATTCTTAAAGTGCAGGAAATAAAAATGTAAATACCAATAAAGGTATCACTGTTTTATGGATGCTGGATGTCATTGCACTTTGCTATATGGCCAACACGGCTACCCCTGGATATGTTTTCTGGTGTAAACAATGTTATGTGTACCAGTTGCACTTTTTAAACAATTGTACAAGAGCAGTATCCTAATCACGGTTGCAAAGTCAGAGTAACAACTGCACAACATGTAAGTACAAGGCACTGTTGCTCAGTGCATGATCAGCTGCACAAGGATGCAACCTACTATGATTCTGGCATAGTGCAACTCTGCTGTAAACATACACACTATATACCTGCTAAAAAGGATCTTGGCATATCAGTGTAGGTTCAGTCAGATGGTAGGTTCAGCAAATTTCTCTTTTGTAGTCAGGTTGTGCTATCTTGCTTTTTTCATTGGGATACCTATGGTCATAAAATCCTCTGCCAGCACTACCTCTTGTCCGTCCAACACCAACTCAGCTTGACTCTTCAGTTCTGAGACATCCATATCTCCTTCACCAATCTGACTGGTTGGCTTATACCTCTGGCTGAAATGAGACAGAACCAGTCTCTTTACTTTACACAGCTTTGCAAACTGTGCTGCCATTTTCGGAGTGCTGTGGCCATGTTCCTTGGCCTTGTCCATTTGGGTATCGTCCAGTGTGGCTTCATGAATCAAGAGATCAGCTTCATAACAAAGAGACGCAGCTCCTTCTCCAACCATGCCACAACAGTCTCCTAAAATACAAACTTTTCTTCCAGGGAGAGGTTCTGCTAAGACATCTGAAGGAGAAATAGTGGTCCCATTTTCTAGGACAACTGTGACACCTTCTTTCAGTTTACCATATATAGGGCCTGGATGAACTCCTACAAATTAAAGCACAGGAATAATGTTACCTTTCAAATGGCTCTTCCTTCCACATAGTTTTAAATACACATTTGTCTTTTCACGGAACCAAGACACAGGGGCTTGATCAGATCTTAGCACAGCAGGGTGCCCAAAATTAATTTACTGCTGTTACCTGAATACACTAAAGACACCAGATCTGATCTGATTTTGGAAGCTAAGCAGTGTCAGCACTAGTTAGTACTTGGATTGGAGACCGTCAACAAATACCAGATGCTGTAGGCTATATTTCAGAAGAAAGAACTGGCACAACCACCTTCCATGCCTAAGAAAACATTATTAAATTCATGGGTTTGCCATAGGTTGACAGGTGATTTGAAGGCACACACACCGGGACCATTATGAGAGTGAGAACTAGTAACTTAAGTGTTAGACTAGAACTCCTGGAGTGTGTGTGTTGTGTGCCTTCAAGACTCTTCTGACTTATGGTGACCCTAAGGCAAACCTATAATGGAGTTTTCTTGGCAAGATTTCTTCAGAGGTGGTGCTACTTGCCCAAAGTCACCCAATGGGTTTCATGGCTGAGCTGAGAATTAAACCCTGGACCAGGGTTCAAATCTGTTTAGCCATGGAAACCCCTGGTTAACCTTGGCCAAGTCACACTCTCTCAGCGTTAGTTTGTGGTTTGTGTCCTAGTCTCCAGAGCAGCAGAAAACAAGCTTGTTCCATCTTCTATGACATTCCTTCAAATATTTAAAGATGGCTATCATGTCTCATCTCAATCTACTCTTCTCCAAGGCTGCTGCCACACTACAGAATTAATGCATTTTTGACACAGTTTTAAACTGCCACAGCCCCATCCTTTGGTATCCTGGAATTTTTAGCTTGCTGTGGCACCAGCAAGCTACTGCCAAATATCTCACAAATCTACAAATCCCAGGATTCCATAGCATTGAGCCATGGCAGTTAAAATGGTGTCAAACTGCATTAATTCTGCAATGTAGATGCAGTCTTAGTTAAACATACCCTAAAACGTTCCTCATAGGACTTGGTTTCCAGATCTGTTACCACTGTTGTCACCTATACATTTCAGCCTGTTATTATCCCTCTTGAATTGAGGCTTTCTTGGCAAGACTTGTTCAGAGATTTACCATTGCCTTCCCCTGAGGCTGAGAGCATGTGACTTGCCCAAAGTCACCCAGTGGGTTTCATGACTAAGCTGGGAATCGAACCCTGGTCTCCAGAGTTGAGGTCCAATGCTCAAACCACTACGCCATGCTGGCTCTCATGGATGTTAGATTTTAGATTTCTGAAGAGGTTTAAACCAGGAGTAGGCAACCTAAGGCCTGGATGCGGCCCCCCGAGACCTTTGGACCGGCCCCAGGTTAGTCCTGCCGCCGCCGCCGCCGCCCCCCCATCGCCTGCCATGATGATATTGATTATTGTTGTTATTACTTGTTCTTGGGGTTTTCTTGGCAAAATCTCCACAGGGGTTTTGCCATGGCTTTTCTGGCACTGAGAGAGTGTGCATGCATACTTTTTAAAAAAAATTTAAATTTTTTTTAATTTTAATTTTAATTTGTTTGTTTGTTTGTTTGTTTTTGGTGCTTCAGCCCCTCAATTGTCTGAGGGACAGCAACCTGGCCCCCGGCTCAAAAAGGTTGCCTACCCCTGGTTTAAGCTGTGGAGGGAAAACAGAACACCCTCTCTCAATTTTTTTTCATTTCCCCCCTTTTACATCTTTGTAGTCCTGCTCATCCTTAAACATTACACCCTGTACATACACTAGACTATAAATCCCATCATCTCCACCAATCAATTCATTTGGAGAGTACCACACTGGGAAAAACTGATGTGACATCTAACTTCCAGCAAACACAGGGGGCTGAACTAAATGAACTTTGAAGTCTATGAGTCTATATTTCTACAACACCAGTATGTTTTGTTTTTTTCATCTCCAAAGAAAGATGATCACCTCTGAAATGGTTTCACAAAAGCACACTGCTCTTTCCCCCATAAAGCTCTGTATAAATGTTTTCAGACCAGAGCCAATAAATATTATCATTGTGTTTTACAGGGGAGGAAGAGGTGCATTAGTCTGTAACAGTAAAGGACGGGAAGCACAAAGGGTTTAATATGGCATGCCGTTCCGTAGCTCACCATCTATTTCACTGCATGAAGCCCAAGATTTTAAGATTACATGCCAAAGTAAGTCAGTCCCCATAGCGCCACAACATATCCTCTCTTTTATGGGGAGAAGCAAGCACTGCTTTCTGCCTGGAAAACTATTAGGCATTTTAGCCACTCCACAGCTGAGGAATGGCATCACTGCTCATGAGCTCAGCATGATCCCTGTGGGAATTTCACTTCATGTAGTGGGCTAAGAGACTGAGCTGTGAAGCAGGAATCCCACTGTCCAGATTGCAACACAATACTGACTTGTCATATACCAGTAGCAGGGGTCGGCAACATTAATGTACCTGGAGCCGGTCGCTGGTTCCCAGGTCTTCTGCTGGGCGGGGGGGGGGGGGGGGGGGGGGGGATGGCGGTGCATATGCTCATGCGTGTGCGCATGGGCCCCCACCGCCACGCGCGCTGCTGCTGTGCCACCATGCACATCGTGGCCATTTTGTTTGCCAAAATGGGACCGCGACTCATTTGCGCATGCAAAGGAATCTTGCGCATGCGCAAACGCATCGCAGCCGCCATTTTTGCAAACAAAATGGTGACCGCGATGCACGCGGTGGTGGCGGCGGTGGCGGTCGGGGGGGCAGGAGGCAGGGGTCCATGGGCCGGGTGCGGCCCACCGGCCGTAGGTTGCCAACCCCTGCCATATAGGGCCTTTGTAAAGCAGAAGTGGGAATCATGTGCCTAATTTTGGGATCAAGAGAGGAAGCAAAGTGAATTGAAGGTAGCAAATTATTTGACACAGCGCCAGTCCAGATGTTTGCACCACATCTGTGCAATCACTGCACTGAAACAAAGATACATCTTTCCCAGCAGTTTGGGAATATTTGCCTAACATTCACAGGGGACTGGACTAGATGAATTCTGAGATCTATTATTCTACATTTCAAAGAACCAATCTCTAAAGGACAGAGATGCAGCATGTAAAATGTTTGAACAGTCTATGGAATGCTACATACAAAACATCTTTTAGCTTAAGATTAACATTAAGTGGTTCCTCTGATTTCATAAATTCTGCATATCCAACATGAAAGTTATCTATAATCAAAAACACTGGGAAATAGCATGGCATGGTGCTTAGGGTGCTGGATTGGGACATTGGAGATCCAGGTTCAAGTGCTTATTGATGCTTGAATTTTTTTCTGGATGATCCGCAGGCCAGTCATTCACTTTATGACTTATCTCACAAGATTGTTGTGAGAATGAAGTTGAGAGGAGAAGAGCCATGTATGTTGCCTTGAGTTTACAGAACATAATGTATCTAAGAAATAAAAATAAGCATCCTATACACCATTAGTAAACTCATTCTCCAAGCGTGGATCCTAACAACTTTTGAGGGAAGTCCCATTTCGCCTTAAACAAACTTCCAATCAAAAGCCAAAGAACATGTTTTACAAGAGTCAAACATGATGGGTTGTTCTTACCTAATTCCTTCAGCTTCTGCACATTGAGTTTACCAACCCGTGGCTTCTCTTCCACCAGAAACCCAAAGGAAGGTATGCGATGAAATAATCTGAATGCCTTCATCACAAAGTGCTCATTGTCTACCAAGGGGTACGAGTCTTCGGCAGGATCTAGGTAAATGGTTTTCCCTTGAATCTGTTTAGAGAAGGGCTCATCTCTATCCACAAAAGACAGCTCCTTCCATTCTTCTTCAGGGCATTGATCCGGTGTGGGCACCAGTTCATGAACAACATAAGGGATGGCAAGTTGTGAGTGCGACAGCTCCATCGTTCTCCAGAGGAAGCTCCTTAGCCCAAGTGGCCCATAAATATCAACTGGAAGAGTCTTTGTGGCAGGACCACTCTGGAGGCTGATAGTACATAGAAGCCCAGGGAGACCAAAGAAATGGTCTCCATGAAGATGAGTTATAAAGATTTTAGTAATTCTTCCTATGAATATAAAAAACAGTGATTCAAGTGAGACCAAATTGAGAGACTTCTGACACACACAATAAAGATAATACATGCGGAAAATGCAAGCCTGGATCAGAAAAAAAGATTATATTGACCTAGAAATTATACAGGTTGAGTCTCTCTTATCTGAAATGCTTGTGACCAGAAGTGTTTTGGATTTTAGAATATCTGTATTTGCAGATATGTACTTAATGAGATATCTTGGAGATGGGACCCAAATCTAAATACAAAACTCATTTATGTCTCTTATACACTTTAACCTAGTCTGAAGGTAACTTTATACAGAGTATTTTAAATAATTTTGTGCATGAAGCAAAGTTTGTATACATTAAACCATCAGAAAGAAAAGGTGTCACTATCTCTTAGAGTTAGGGTTAGGGTTTTGGGGGTTTTTTTGGAATATTTTAGATTTTGGAATTCCAGATAAGGGAGGTTTAGATCATTTTAGGCTTGTTTTTAGGCCTGAGTAATTCTTCCTTGGGCTTCAGTAACAGTAATAAAAATTTAGGCACTTCTAAAAGTCCCTGCCGTAGAAACTAAATTGGTTTCTTCTCTGTTTTGCTTCAGAGAACAGGAAAAAACATTTTCTACTCCGGAAAATTTAGGCCCAAGAGAGGTTTTTTTTAAAAGGGAATTGAAAGACCTCTCCTAGTTTAAAATTATCTAATGGTGTCTAAATATACAGTGAAAATGTCCACCATGGCCTCTAGAGGGTGTTTGGAGCAAAAAAAATGTATATTTTTGGAAGGAGGGGATACAAGGATGTATATGAGTCGCTCTCCAATATTTCCTGGGGAGGTAATGCATTGTATTTTATTCTTTTAA